CCCTGGCCTGTCCCTACCCTATTTCAGGAGCCCCCAATCACAGCCGCGAAGGTCCGGAAGTAGGGTCATGTTGAGGAATTCGGTCGGCCAATGGGAGGCCTAGGGTGACCGTGCGGTGGGCGGGGCTTCTGGGTAGCGGGCACAGGGATGGATGGGGGGGAGGGGGGGGCAAAGGGGAGGGCTCCGAGTGTCTCAAGTGACCAGCGTGGCACTTGTTGGGTCTTAGTGTACCCCGAAATACCAGCGGAGGAGGGTGTGTGTGTGTTGTGTGAGAGAGCGAGGCTGCGGGCACGGGAGTGAGCGTGGAAATATTATTCGAACCGCGGATGTGTTTTCGAGAAGTGGTTGTGCTGTGCCGTGCTCTTTTTTGGAGGAAGTAGAAGGAAGAAAAAATATATATATGAAAATTTATTCTCTGTGGCTGTGAAAGATTTTATGAGAAAGTGAAGGGAGTTGTTTAGGAAACGCGACTTCCCCTTTTTTCCCCTCGGCGGCCTAAACAGGAGAGGGAAGCGAGTGCACGCGCGTTCGTTATTGGCGCCGTCGTAGTTTTTTGAAGGAAACTGAACGACCGTCTTCGATCAGCGTCTTAAGAGGTAAGGTTTCGCTGGGACTCGTTTCAACACGTCCTCTTGTAGAAATGGAAAGCAGTGGGAGTGAATATTATGTATGCGAAGGTTTTAAGCAGTTGGTCGTTCTCATCTGCGATTGTGGGCTTTATGGTAATACTTTCTCATTACATGACAAGAGTGCTTTGTTTATGCACCTGTCGAATTAATCATTAGATTCTGGTGCTCTCAAAGTCATGAAAGATATTGTCGTTATAAATTACGCGTTGGCAGAGGACCAGGTAAATATAGGAATATGAAGAGCTGACGCAAAGGCTGCGCAAAGCCTCTTGTCAGAAGATTTGCGAGTATTTCTGTGTTCTGAGAGAGAGAGAGAGAGAGAGAGAGAGAGAGAGAGAGAGAGAGAGAGAGAGAGAGAGAGAGAGAGAGAGAGAGAGAGAAAGAAAATGCCTGACTGGGTATCGGGCCACCCAGCTTCCCGGGGGCTTCTTCCCGAGGCTTCCCTGGCATTGAGGAAGAAAAACAAGGGAAGAAAGTGAGAAGAGAACCCTCCTTGGCGAACCCCTGGCTTCTGCACCCTGCAATTGGGCGCCGGGGTCGGCCATGGACGAGGCGGGCGGGGGGGCGGGGCCGGGGGATTTACATAGTAGATTGTGGGCGCATGATGGTCGCGGGCGGCTCGGGCCTGATGGATGGCCGCGTGGCTCAAACGTAATAGTTTCAAATGTGGGTGATTACAGAGTGTCGTGCTTGATTTGCGTGGCGGATTATCGTCCATTTTTCCTATTGCTTTCCCCTCGCGGTCCGTCCCTTCTGATCTGTTTATATCTCTTGGGGCTTTGTTTGTGTTTTGCTTCAAAGATTCTTGGCTGGGGTATTGAAATGGCTCAGAGATAGAATTTTGGTCAGGTCATGACAGAGACAGAGCAATAGAGAGAAAGAGAGACGAGGTACAAAGATAGATAGAGAGGAATGACATAAAAAAGCAAATAATGAAAGAGGAGAGAAAGAGAAATAAAGTGAGTAGAGAGAGAGAGAGAGAGAGAGAGAGAGAGAGAGAGCCTTTTGAGCAAAACTCAAGGTCGCCAGTGAGCGTCTCCGCATGTTCCACGCCGATGTGCGAAATCCCGACATCATTAGCATGTGGTGTCGCGGGCGGCGTGTTAATGCCTCCGCCTGCTAATAGACACGGCGGCGATCATGTCTCGTTAATTGTGTCCAGTTAGGCTGTCCTTGTGCATTGCTTGCTTGCTCATTTTACCTCTATCACTGCGGAAGGACCGTCGCCAAAGTGTGGGTTTAGTGCGTGTGTTGCCGTTTCATCCGGGACTTCAATTATATGTTATGTTCTTTGCTTTCATGCTCTTGCTCGATAGCCTCTTGTATGGGCTATATTATATATCTGCGTATATTCGTTTCCCACCGTACAGTTATGCATCAGATATAATTTCTCTTCACTTTTATTATTTTTTATGACCTTCTATTATCTTTATTTTTTTCTATGTTTGTATCTTTTTAACCGCAGTCTATCCAGTCTCATTTGTATATCGAGAGGACACAGCTCGCCCGCGCCTTACATCCTGGCGGAGACGAGTTTTCTCTAGTGTCTAGGTTCGTGGCCCCGTTGTACTCGGACGGAGGAGGGGGGGAGGGGGGAGAGGGAAAAAACGGGGTTCGGGTAATGGGATTCGCTTGTAGGTATTCGTGTTATTGGGAGGAAAATGTGCTGTTCGCCATAGAGGAATGTTGGTCGTAATGGCGGGGTGTCGCTAGTCTCCGGCGTGTGGCAAGATTTTTGTTGCATATTTCTGAGTTGTTGTTTTTTTTGTATTATTATTTTTTTTGAGGGGGGTGAATGTTCTTTTTTTGAGTGAGAGACACTTCCATGCTTTTATAAAGTGTTTTTTTTTCGGTGTTGGGTTCTTCTTGTGATGGAAATGTATTCATTAGTGAGACGTGTTTATACAGTGGTTTAAGATAGTCCTTTGATTGGACTGGTTTTCGTGTTCATTTTTTTTTTTTTTTTTTTTTTTTTTTTTAGCTTTAACTGCCCATTGGCCCTTCTAATTATCTGCCAATTAGCGTGTCCAGATCTTAATAGTGGCATTGATGGACCCAACACCAAAAAGTGTCAATTTGCAAGAAAAGAGTTAAACGGAAACACAACTAAAAGAAGAAAACATGGATTTGATGCGAGTTGCTTAAAGTGTTCTTGACAAGAA